GATTTCGTGTCTCTCTACTTATAAACTGAACCTATCGTCACAGTACAAGGCTCGAGTTGAACGCTTAAGGCAACAGGTTGGGGGCGACGAAGACCCTGACTCTCTCATGGTCGTGTCTTCCTCCTCCAGTAGGAAACGCAAAAACAACGATGATTTGACCTTTCCTATGGACAAGAAGATGAAGACGGGAAATGGCAGTACGTCCTCTAATATTTTTTTTGTCACTTAGCAATTTAATTGATGAGTTGAAGCTCTTTACTCTGTACACCTCATCAATAATCTGGGAGCTCTGGGCTACAACCATTCCCCTCCTCCTCTTACGACTGTGGTTGTGATGTTCAAGAAATTGGAAGGTGTGGGTTCTGACGAGAAGGCTGAACTGCAAAGTGTTCCGGGTGAATTTACGGACAAAATGGAGCTTAATCCCCTCACACTCTCGATTTCCGATCGCAGAAAGTCCAAGCACGTCTATAAAGTTACTCTGGTGTTATTGTTGCTCCGTTCTCTACTGATTCTCCCAGTTCACGATCGACGGCGATGCGCAGCTTTATGTTGCCAAGAAATATTTTGATATCGGCAACATATTTTTTCATCTCACGTTCTGAGAGACGAGCGACTACATTACACATAATTTACGACTTTACGACTTTACGATTTTACGATGTTACGACTGCATGTTCTTGACACTGATCAAATTAATTGGTGCACATCCTCCTACTGTTTTTAGTCCTTGTGTCCTCCTCCTCCTCGTTCTCGTTCCATGCATTTGGGCGAGTTAGATTAGATTCCGACGGCGGTGTCACGTAGTGATGTTCAGGGCCCGGCCCGGCCTGGAAGCCGCGGCTTGGGCCCGGCTTGACGCGGCCTGGGCTTCGGATATCCAAGGCCCGAGCCCGAGCCCTCAGGCAGGGCTTCAAGCCCGGGCCTCGGGCTTAGGCCCGGGCTTGAAATATATATTCCCACGGTTGAGGAGCTGGGGAAGGCATCGACAATTCCATAGCTATGCTAAGGGGTAAATCATAATTTGGTTCAGGGGAGTGCGACCCCGACATCGAGAGGGTGGGAGGAGATCATGTGTCATATTTTATATCTGGAGTGTTGCTGGATCCTGCCGGATCCGGCATTGGAGGATTGGCTGAGGTTGGAACACCGCATCGACCTCGTTATTCACATGCCCGCTTATTCGTTTAATTATTCACATGCATTGTGTGCTTTCAAGAGACTTTGAAACACACAACTAGTTCGGATCTGATCCGCCCCCCAGGCCCGGGCTTGGGGGCCCGGCTCGGGCTTCAGAATGTTGAAGCCCGAGCCCTGAGCCCGCCCAGGCCCGCTCACGGGCCCGGCCCGGCCTGCCAAGCCCTGGGCCCGGCCTGGCGGGCTTAGGGCTTGAAGCCGGGCCTTGAACATCACTAGTGTCACGAAATCTCAATTTAGTCATAGGCGGTCACTCTTGACTTCACGCCATGCCAAATCCAGGTGGAAAGCATGGGAACGATCCGAAAGAATGTTAGTGAGTTCTGGACAACACTGGCTTCTCTAATAACAGTGCATAGATCCTGAAGACTCAGTCCTGCTTGATGCATTTGCACGATATGGTCGCGAAAATAGTTGTGCAGGACTGACTCACCAAGATCAGCGGAGTCGTCTACAGCTGGAGTTCAGGCTGAGCATTGGGTAATGTTATAGTGTCTGTTTATTCACTGAGCTGATATAACAACCCGAGGAAAAATAAGCTTTTCAAGCTGCGGAAATAAGTCGGTGCCGATTCCGTACACAGCAATAAAAAAAAGACGCACAAAGACGGAGGCAGCTCAGCTGGTCATCGATTTGAAGGAGGGTGATGTGGCGGGTGGCTGGGGTGTAACACAGGTCAAGGGACGGCTTTCTAACCAGAATATACTCATCCCAAGGTGCATTTTTGTCTCCATGCTGAAAGGTTAATATATCCAGTTCAGTGATGATCTACGGGAGATTCCGCATGTCCATTTCGATGAAGAATTTGATCGCCGAGTTGTGGGCAGAAAGCGTGCTGAACAATATAGGACACCTTTAGACGCACTGGGGCCCTGGCACCAGGAGCACTCGGACGGTCACGAGAAATTGGCAGAGCAAGGTTTGCGTATGGGTAGCGGAATACATCTGCCAATATACGCTTCAAAGGATCAGTGGTCCGCATTCCTGCATACCTTGGTTCTAATGCCGAATGTTCGCAACTCCATTGCTATTGTGCACTATTATCTGGACTTGGTGGAGCAGCGCGACTGTGAATCTTGGTTCTATTTCATGAAGATCGAATTTCTATCCAGTTGACGACGGACCAAGGAAACGAGGTTAACGGGCTTCACAAAGTCCATGAACGTCTTAGGTGCCCTATTTCACCTATTATTATTAATTCACGCACTGACGAGACAATTAGATCGGAGGCAGCTCCCGAGTATGTGCTGCCTGACTTCCCCTTTGGAGTTAAACAGGGGAGTACAAAGAATACACCCATTGAAAGCTTCTGGCGGTGGCTTCGAGACGGTGAAGGGCACTCGGTCAACGCTGTTTTACAAGAGGGGAGCTCATTGGGGATTTTCCTACCCAATGATGTGGTCCATCGGTACGTTTTCAGTTCCCTGGGGTGCACATTTGCTTATGCAATGCAGTGCTCCGAGTCTATTCTACTGGCTCTGGACGCCCATCATTCAAGAGGGCTTGGATATGTATCGCGCCTACTGGAACAACCACACCATCACCAAATCCAAAACCAAGAAAAATCCCAGTCACTCCTGCCCCAACAACATGTTCTTGAACCCGGCTTCGGTCAATACGCTGGCCAGGAACTGCTCCATTCGCGTCAATCCGGAAACGGTTGCTGAACTTCGCGAGGCCTATGGCGGGGAAGAGGCCCGGGATTGTGCCTACCGCTTCGTGTCTGTTGAGTTCAAATTCAATGCCGATCTCATTCACGAGCAGCTGGGGTCGCCTGAGCTGACGCTCAAAAAGGGATGGAAGGTATTCCAGGAGATGGTACCTAGGGTAGAAGCGCTTCATTTGTCTGGAGTAGATATTGGGTTGCCTGAATTGTAGCTACTGTGTTCACAAATGTATACACCGCTAGCCAATACTCCTTGCTTGCAGCTCTATGCACCCTCTGAAAATGACGACATAATGAAATTACGTTGCAAAAGTAACGCCTCCTACGGTAATCGAACGTCTGACCTCAACTGCCGGTTCAAATCGAACCGGGGACTTCTCGCGCTTCGTACTCCTATGGCACATATACTGTGCAAAAATTACCTAATTACATCTCTCAGTTGGCTACTTACAACTTTGTGCGAATCAGTGAAACCCGTAACATCTTTCATGTGTGCATACATCTCTCACCCAGGTTCGCAACCAACTTTTAGACTACATGTGCAGTTCAATCACATTTGTTTTGGACTTGGTCTTGAGAAATTTTGTCGGATTGATGCCAACAGTAATGCTATTCCTGATCTTGACGTCTAGGAATAGAAATTACTGAATATGTCAGGGCGTAGGGGACGGAAAATGGCTTTAAAATATTAGTAATGGGTCATTTGAACCGTGAGGTCCATTTTACGGAAAATATTTCTACTCCAAACAGGCTAGAAGTGCAAGTTGTGGCATATCACCTTGAATTGTCCTTTGTTGATGAATTTAGACTCCATAGGTTGTGCTAAGGTATCCGGAGGAGATATTCTCATTAGAAACCTTACAGTCGCCATCCGAGAGGCCTCGGGCCCATGAACATATGGCGTAGCCGACAGTGATGCGATCAATCACATCAATCACAGCCCTGATGTGATCTAATTTCGAGTTGCAACCCGTTTGAGCCTGTAAGCTACCTGTAAGTTGTCAGCAAAAAATGGAGATTTAAACCAGAAGCAAGCATCCTGCTGTAATTTAGGTGTAGAAACCCTGCAAAAATGATGAATTCTTTGCTCAGCATATCGCCCATATTCCAGCGCTGGCTGCAGAGCCACATTCCACGGTTCGGCGTCCGATGCGCATACCTCGCCCGCTTCGAACTATTCCTGGAGAGTGATATGCCGCTGCGCATCCTCATGGATGCTATATCCAGCCTCCCACCCCTCACCCATCTGCGGATCTATGGTGAAGGTGGCTACGGCTTGCTGGAATCTGCCCCCGTCCCGCCGACGGATACGTTTCCGCCGCACTTCCATACGCTCGACATAGCACTGCGTCGGGGAACCAACCTGTTCTTTGAGTGGCTGATCCCATACGAGAAATCACCTGTCTTCACCTCCCTGACACTCGGAGGCAGAGCCAACGGCGCCCCTCTCGGGCCGATCGAGGCTTATTTAAAATGTATGGGCACCAAAACCGAGGCCCTCTCCTTGAGTTATTGGGCGGACGGACCAATGGGTTTGCGTATCTATCTCACCAGGAATCCACGCTAATCTTGCCGCCATCCGCAGCTACGTATGATCTCGAAACCCGCGTTCTCGCATCCACCGACATGCTCGTTCATCTCTCGCTCGCCAGGTAATATCCCCAGCTCCTCGATACCAGGTTGACGCACCCATCCTCACTCCGCCTCGCCATGATCAGCATAGAGGTGCGCCCCGTACCGGACTATGTACTCCCAGTGCTTTCGTCCATCGACGCGCTCTTGGGGACGCCGCAGTACGGGGCGCTGCCACGCCTGTCGTTTACGGACGAAGTGTCCAAGAAGCCGATCAACACGGCGGAGCTGAGAGCGCTGATTCCACAAGCAAGCGCGCGCGGCCTTCTTGACTGGTCACATTATGTTGGGTATGAGTTCTGTGTCTGGGTAACATAAAACACTAGTACTGGCGCACTGTTCAATGCAAGCTTTTCTAAACATTAACTTCAGAATATCTACAACATTCACTATCATCGATGACGGAGAATAGTCTCCGTAGACAGCCGCTACAACATATATGTTTCAGAAATCAGCGAGTTGGCAAGGTGAACCTGTGTAGCTAACCTCACCCCCGCAACAAGAAGACCAAGTGGCGAAACGCATCGCGCCCGCACTTCATGCCATGTGAAAAGAGTGATAGCAGGAGGTCCCTGTTCGAACCAGGGCTCGGTCCTGAGACAGCTGAGAGCGCAATTTTTGGTTTTTTGGTTTTTGGAGTTCCACGGACTCGGTAACGCACGACATTCACCATCATTTATGTCTGTATGATGGGAAATCCTAGTCTCCGTAAGACGCTCCAACCAACCTCGCAGATCCAGG